GAGCCAGACCCATAACACAGTGGTTAAGAGCTAAGCATAGGAAGCTGGATTCCACATGGCCAACCATGGTTGGAATCCTGGCCCCAGTGGCTTGTAAAACATGCCAGTTGCAAGGGTATGCATGCTCAAAATGCTGATGGGAAGGAGAAATGGAGGAAAGGGTTTGCTGCATGATGCTCCACTGTGGGGTACTTTCTTTTCCTTTCTCTCTGGCAAGTGCATGCACCCTCTGACAATATTGAAAGAGAGAGAGAATATTACTAATCTGTCTGTAAAGCTACTGGTAAATTTTTCTTTGCATGAAATAAAAAACAATAGCACTTTTTTTTAGAGGTCTTTTTGTCTTAGGGAGTGTGCACTCGCCAGAGAGAGAGAGAGACATGGAGAGGGAAAGTGAGAAATCATCCCTTGGGGGAATGGCCATACCACAATCCCTTCTCCATTCTCCTCCTGGGATCTTGAGCATGCATGCACATGCACCTAGAATGTACACACATATACTATGGCAAAAACCTTAAAAAAAATTTTTAAATCAAGTATGTATCTATATACCAGCAAGAAACAGAAAGCAAAAGTTAAAGATATTTACAACAGAATAAAAAATTTCAAAAAATAGAAATAATTCAATCATGGGAGAGATTCATAGACTAACAGCTATTTTATTTTAATAATGGTTTGAAGGGAAGCTCTAATAAGCAAAATCATATTTCATTTTCTTGAGATGGAAAACTCTATTGTGAAAATATCTACTATTCCCAAATATATTGATAGATGCAGCTCCATGAAAATCCTAGCATGGTTTTCTTTTCTGTGTAAAAATTCACACAAAAGTGCAAAAGGAAAAAAACAACCACGATAATAGTGAATAAAAACAACCAAACTGAAAGACTTTAACAGCATAATGACTTACTATTACAAAAAAAAATTAAAACAGATAATGTCAAAAGAATAGAAACACAGATGAATGGAACACAACGGAGTCTTTAAGACTTAGAGATACAAGGTATCTGATTTATGACAAAAGTGGAACTACAGTATAATAGCAAAAGGATGATGTTCAATAAATAGTGCTGGGTCAACTGAGTACCTATATGAAAAGAATAACCCTGACTCTTACCTTACATCATATACAAAAATCAATTCCACATGAATTACAGATGCAAGTATAAAAAGTAAAATAGTAAAGTGCTTAAAAGAAAACAGAGTAACATCTTTAAGATTTTTAAATATGTAAATATTTTTAAAACTAGACAAAAAAAGCTTTAAATATAAAAGAAAAGATGATAAAATTTAACTCTGGATAACTTAAAAGTATTATTAAAGAGTGAACCAGTGGGGCCAGCAGGTGACATGGTGGTTAAGGGTGCTGGACTCCCACATGGCCAACTGCAGTTCAAGTCCTGGACCTAGTAGCAGCTTCCTTTCTCTCTCTCTCTCTCACTCTGTCCCTCTCTGGTCAAATTAAATCAATCAATCAATTAATTAATTTTTTTTAAAAAAAAAAAGAGTGAACCAGCAAGCCACAGAATGAAGAATACGTGTATGTATTTTTTTTTTAAAGGTTTTTGTCATAAGGCACATGTGCTTGCTGGAGAGACAGAGAAAGACAGTGAGAAAAAAAAAAAAAAAAAAAAAAAGGGGAAAAAAAAAAAAAAAAAACAAGAAGTCACCCTCTGGGAAGATGGCCACACCACAATCCCTCTTCCTTCACTCTCCTCTTGGGAACTTGGGCACACATAAACATGTGCCTGGACTAAGTTTCAAGTCCCTGGATCTGGGTATCAAACCACAGTCGGCCACTTGAGAGTCCTGTGCTACCTGCCGGTTCTGGAAGAATACAGTTTAATGCATATGCCAAAGAACCCACATCCATTACATATAAAAAAATCCTTATACCCCCTACAAAAGTCAAACCAAATTTGCAAAACCTGGGTGAAAGACTTCAACAGATATTTTAAAAGCGTATGCCTTAATCAGCAAGAACATAAAATGGTGTGCAACTTCATTAGTCTTCAGGAAAATAAAAAATAAAACTAAAAGGGAATACTATGGCATATCCAACACAAAGGCAAAATAAAACAGACACGGTGCCAAATGCTGGCAAGGATACAGGAAAATAGCACTCCTGGATCGAGGGGACATAATCCCACACAAACATTTCAGAAAATGTTTGGATATTATCTACTGAAGGTGAAGAGATGCACATCCTACGGCTTTGTAATTCTACTCCTAGGGTTGTATCCAACTGAAATGCACAACAGCCTTCTCTAAAAATTGTGTATTAGAACATTTGTGAGAGCATTAGCTAATAGTTCCAACCTGAAATCACTGAAACCAACAACAGTAAGAGTCGATAGATAAATGCATACTCCTACAATGGAATACGGTTTGCCATTAAGAATGAATGAACGAAAAAAAAAAAAATAATAATAAGCAGGAGGAAAAAAAAAATGCACATTTGATGACTGAAGAGAGGTGTATGGACACAACTGGGGACTACTTTATAGTATGTGCATTCTACTCCCTGGGGTTTATGCCTAGGATCAGATTTGGATACATGTGTAAGGATATGTCAGCTGTGCTAGCTAGTGGATATATTTAGACAAATTGAGTTCATTGGTAGAACAATTGAATGGGGGGGGGGCAGAAGCCATTGAGGGCAATCATGAATGTCAGGGACAATGGAGGAGGAAGATGGGACATGGCAGAGGGTGGGGATGGGGAACCTAGGATGGCAAAACAAAAGGCAAGGTATGCAGGACACAAAAATTGGGAAATCATTTGCTGAGAACATATATGTTGATGTGCTTGATTGAGCCAATGCACAGTGTATTTTGGATGGAAAATTCATATGTGTGTTGTGATGAGAAAAAAAAAAAAAATTTA